CTCTCTCTCTCTCTCTCTCTCTCTCTCTCTCTCTCTCTCTCTCTCTCTCTCTCTCTCTCTCCCTCTCTCTCTGTCTCTCTCTCCGGTACTGGAGATTGAACCCAGCACCTTGTGCATACAAGGCAGGCACTCTAACCCCTGACCAGCACGGGCAGTTGAACTAAGGTCACTCATGTGAATTTGTGCTGATGCGAAATAAAACACAGACACAATTTACCTTTACACAAGCTTCAGGAGAACTTCCCCCAGCTCCCTGCCTCAGGCTCCCTAAGAGGGAGAGCAAGAGAATGTCATGAGAGACTGATGAGAGAGAGAGGGAGCATGTTTAGAAGTGAGCTTTTTACAGGGGAACACTGTTCTTAAAAGGTTCTATCCATAAAAGAGCAGAAGGCATAGAATTATAAGGGAGCGGGTGAGTGTAACTCAACCCCAGGGGTATGCCTACACCTGAAGACCTGCCTTACTGTCTGAGCTGGATCAACATCCAAGTCACCAAGAATGTAGTGATTGGTCAGAGCCTCCTACTTCAGGACTGGAAGGTGTGGTCATTCAGAGCGGCTCCCCACACTCTACCAACTGAGCTATATCCCCAGCCCTGAAGACTTAGGCTCTCTGAGTGGATTAAAACAACAAGCCCCAATAATATACTTTCTGCAAGAGACTCACCTCACAGGCAAAGGCATCCTCACTGAAGGTAAAAGGATGGGAAAAACATATACCAACCCATGGGACTCAAAAACAAGCAAGGATAGCTATTCTCATATTAGACAAAGTGGACTTCAAGCCAAGATTAAGTAGAAGAGACAAAGAAAGTCACTTCATAGTGCTTATGGGATCATCCATCATGAAGACATAAAAATCATCAATATTGTGTCCCAAACAATGGTGCATGTATTTAAATACATAGAAAAATCCTTTTCAATATTAAGAATCAAACAGACTAGTTTGACTTTAACACACATCTCCCACAACTGGATTGATCATCCAGAAATAAAAACCAAGTTTCCAGAGAACTAAGCAATAAATTAGTAACATGAACCTATCAGACATCTATAGAATCTTTTATCCATCAATTTCTGAATTCAGTTTTTTTCTCAGCAGTACATGTGACCATATTTTAGTTCACAAAGCAAATATTGGCTAATTCAAAGAAACAGAGAAATCTTATCAGATCATAACAAAATGAAATTAGAAATCAATGAAAGATAAAAAACAGAAACTACTCCAATACCTGAAGATTAAATAATGCATTTTTGAGCATTGAATGGATAGGAGGAGAAATCGGAGAAGAAAGTAAAAAAAAATATTCTTAAGAGTAAAGGAGAATAATGATAAAATATGAGGATCTCTGGGACAGTATAAAACAGTTCTAGAGGAAATTTTTTATCATTGAGTTCATGTATTATAAGAATAGAAAGATACAAAATAAGTAAGCTAACATTTCATCTCATGGCCCTTGAAAAAAAAGACACAAAACAACATCAAAATCAGTACAAGACAATAGTTAAAATTAGAGCCTAAATCAATAAAATTGAGATTTTAAACATGCAAAAAATCAATAGAACAAGGTTTGGCATTACAATGGATTGAACAGATGGATTGAACAAGATTGACAAACCTGCAGATAAACTAACCAAAAGAAAGAGAGAAATGCTCAAATTAGCAAAATCTGAGATGAAAAAGGAAAGATCATCACAGACACTACTGAAATTCAAAGGATCATCAGAAACTGTTTTGAAAATTTATAATGCAATAAGCTAGGAAGTCTTAAACATATGGACAAATTCCTGGAGGCATATGATCTACCCAAATTGAGCCCTGAAAACATAAAAATTTAAACAGATCCATTCAAAAAATGAAATTGAATCAGCTATCAAAAGCTGTCCAAACTAAAGCTCTCCAAACTATAGCCCAGGAATGGATGGCTTATTTGGCCACAAGACTTTTAAAGAAAAACTAATATCAATTCTCCTCAGGTTATTCTATGAAACAGAAAAAGGGAACAATGCCAAACTCATTCAAGGAAGTAAGTGTCTCTGAGACCATTACTAGTGAAAGACACATCAAGGAAATAAAACTTCAGGCCAGTACCTTTGATGAACATAGAAGTAAATATTCTTAATAAAATAGTGGTAAAACACATACAGAATCACATTAAAGAGAGAATGCACCATGGTCAAGTGGGTTTCACCCTAGGGATGCAAGTTTGGTTCAACATATGGAAATCAATAAATGTAATTCACCACATAAATAGTATTAAGGAGTAGAATCATGTGGTTTCCCCAAGATAGGTAGAAAAAACATCTGACAAAGTATGGTACCCATTCATGTCCAGAGCACTAGAAAAACTACTCATAGGGGCTGGGGTTGTGGCTCAAGCAGTAGGGCGCTCACCTCGCATGCATGCGGCCCTGGTTCGATCCTCAGCACTACATACAAAACAAAGATGTTGTATC